AAGACTCAGGACAAGACTCAGGAGACCCAAGGGAGAGTACCAACGAAGACGACCCGACAAGAACAAGACAGAATAGGACAGCTTAAATACTGGGAGAAGACGAGACATGATGACAAACAGCTGGGACGAGACACAGGTGGCAACAATGGAAACTAATGAGGAAGCACGAGGGAAACAGACACAAACCGGGCCACAGAAAAGTACCATCCTTACACTTGGGAGTTCTTTGATAAAGACGAGTCCAGCCATGGAATGTTGATTCAGTCTGTTTAACACACACAGACTGACTAACGCTAAAGGGAGGAGGGGGGAGGCTGCTGTCCGTCTCTCTTCTTGCAGAGAAAAATGGAGCAACTTTCTGCTCGTGTGTTGTCGAAGCCGTTCGACAACACGCGCTGCACACGTGAACCCCGTCTGTGAGCGTCACCAGCACCATAGACATACATTATACATAGATTAGGTACGGCAGCTCTATACAGCTCTGGGTGTAAACACGTAGTCTGTTTGTCATATGTCTGCGTTGTACCTGCCTGCGTGCTGAAACCACGTGACACGTTACAGCCAATACTGAATGAAACTTGACACCGAAAAAAGAGTTACGTTTCAATCCATACACCTACCGGTGCAGTTTGGTGGGTGCCATTTAAGAACCTCGGTTCGGTACTCAGCCCTACAGTACTCTGAGAATAAATTGTGTTGAGGGACCAACTGATCAAATCAAGTCCATAATTATGAGGTGACAGGGCTTTCTCTGTTGCAGGTCCACGACTGTGGAATGAGTTGCCACTGAGTGTCCGGCAGGCTCCCACACTCTCAGTCTTTAAGTCTCGCTTGAAGACCCACTTCTATTCGCTTGCCTTTAACACGGTGTGATTTGTTTTGGTCCGGTCTGTTCTCTACTCTGTTGGCCATTTTAGTTAGCTTCTGCTGCTATTTGTACCTGTATTTCTATTTTATGTTTTCCTGTCTGCTGTGCATGTTTGGTTCTTTTGTACAGCACTTTGGTTGGCCTTGTTGCTGTTTTAAGTGCTATATAAATAAATTGGTATGGTATGGTATGGTATAATTATGGTTCGGAAGATATGCAAGAGAGGCTCAGAAGCAGTTTCACAGACAGACAGAGCAGCAAAGCGGAGAGGAAGGGGAGGGGAAAAGCGTCCGATCTCGGCAAGAGCAAGTGGTGAAGTGATGAATTTGCATTAGGAATATATAACGACTCCCTCTCAGCTACGACCAAACTAAATGTCAGCTCAATATCTCAAAGAATGACTGTTATATTCAATTTTGAGTTTTTTGAGCTAGCTGCGGCAGCCATCTTGAACCAAAATGGCTCCAAAAGTTAATCAGTGTTTTGTTTAGAGACCGCGTCTAGGTCATGTGACCTCATTGTGGCAGTTAGGGGGTGTAAAGAGTTCTGTCAGTGTTTTTCAATGAGAAAAATTATGTCTTTGTTTGCAAGTTGATAACAAAATGCCAATAAAAGTAATAGCACACATCATGGTGCCGAGCCGGTTGTTTTGATATAAGTGAGGGTACACATTTGCAGTTCAGGCTGCATTAAAGTTGATGGAAGAGCAAGACCCTTTTCAGGTAGATAATAATAGGAGGTTGTCTTTCTAGGTGATTCCCAATAAGATGATCTTAGACTAAAACGTTGGCATGAAAGGATGTGGATGAAACACCTTCAGGTTATTGGACTTCTTTGGTTGCTTATGTTTTTAATGTGGCACAGACGGCTAAGATTTTCAAGCTAAATTATGTGTTGGGATAGATGAACCATAACAAACTGTTTTCAGTGTCTCTGCTGGAGAAGTACTGCAGTGCTGGGATGTCTGATCTATGGGCAGCAAGCTCCTTTAAAGGTTCCACCAGTGTCTACACCTGTGTGACCTGCACGCAGAGACACGTGGACAATCATCTGCAGTGGCTGAAAGTGTCTGCTTCTCTGTCTGCCGCCATAAACCTGCGAGGCATCGCCATCACAGGCTGGCAAAGGTTTGAATCTGAGGACGTTCTGCTGTGCTCAATGAGTTTACATGTGTGTTCACTTAGTCAATTATGTCCCTGCTTTCAGGTACGACCACCTGTCGGTGCTGTGCGAGCTGATGCCCGTAGCTGTCCCGTCCCTCGCAGCCTGTATCCAGACTCTTGTCTACGGGGAGTTCAGCTCTGAGGCTCACAACAAAGTAACAGAGACGTTGGGAATATCTTCAGTGGAGGTGGAGGCCATGGAGAGGTGACGTCTGACACTAGTTTAAAGAACAAAACTTTGTTTTTACTAGAGCCCGACAAATATGGAAATTTTGGCTATCACTGATATCGATAGTGAGAGGGGAATGTTAATGCCGATAACCGATATAATTGCTGAATTTTTTTTAACTTTGTCCACCCCCAAGAATATAAGTAAACAGAAAGTGGGCGGGGCTTGTTTATTTAGCACAGCTGTTAGCAACCATGAAGCTAATCAGATCCACGCTATACATAGGTTTACAAGTGGTGCACTGGTCATAAAAACTGCGTTCCTAACGTGCGTTCACATTTTCTGTCCTCCACTGTTCACCATAAAGTTATCAAGTGTGTTACAAAAAGTATAAATTAAACAAAGAAACTGTTCATTGTTTATTAACAGTCAGTCATGTGTGGTGAAGGTCTAATTAGTATTGAACACAGCAGAGTTTATTTTTATTTGCAGAGATGTAAAAATTTCAGACAAACAATGCATTTCATTGAGGACAACAAAGATAACGTTAACACTGATATATTTTACCTCTACGTTAGATTTATTGTTCTAGATAAAATTTTACAAGGCAATAGCCTATGCTATGTTAGCTAAACATTAACTTGCTAACTTGAGAAGCACATAGCTAATGACAAGTTTGTCTGAAGATTCAAGCTAATTTATTATTGTTGATTTGTTTTACAGCTCAGTTAAAATAAACTTTACACGCTCTGTTCAGTAAAATACGCTACACAGTATTGCTCCCTGATTCATCTGTGCTGAAAGTGAAACTTAAGTGAATGACCATTATTTGAAAGTAGTCTTCATGTGCCTCTGCTGGACTCATTGTACAATTACAGCTGGTTCTAGCATTGTAGGGGTGAAAAATTAGAAGTGCTTATATTGGCGCATAATGGGGCAATTATCACCAATACTGATATGATAGATCCCTAAACGTCTATATCAGCATAAATTATCGGCTATACCGATATATTGGATGGGCTCTAGTTTTTACTACACCCAGTTCTGAAAAAGTTGCAGTATTATGTAAAATATGAATAAAAATGGGATGCAACGATTTGTAAATTTCATAAATCTGTTTATTAAAAATGAAACGTTGGCGACATTTCATATGTTTAAACTTAAAATTTGTAGCTTCTTTTAGGAAAAGCTAAAGTAGATTTTGTATTTTTTGGCAGCAACATATCACTACAAAATGAAGCGTCTCCTCTTCTTTCAACAACCGTCAATTCAATAAAATTCGCCCTCTGTGAATATTAAACAGCCATCAGTGTGCATCAGTCTTGACCATGTGAGCAGCTGGTTTTGTTGTCAGCAGCAAAACTGGTTGATCCACTCTGAGAAGGTGCTATTTATAAGACTGAACTGAATACAGCACCTCAGACTGAGGAAGTCTTTCGGATGAAAGACGAAACGTTTCTACATTTTTTTGTTATTGTTTTTTGTTGTTTTCTTTTTGAATGCCCAGAGGACCAGATTTAACTTTTTTTTTTTTTTAGATCAATCAAATTCAGTTCAGAAATACTTTATTCATCCCAAAAGGAAATGAAATGTTGCTGTAACTCATCATCCTGGTTTCATTAAAGAGTTGAAGGAACTGAAGGGACCAGCTGCTGGAGGCTTTGGAGACAAACGTCCCGTTCTTACCTGATGGAGGACTCTAGCTGTTCAGCAGTCCTCGGTCTTGTTGGGTGATTGTTTTGCTGCTATAATTGATGTTTTTGTGGTTTGTTGTCCTGCTGAAGGGGAAAAAACTAATCTAGATGGAAACTTATGTCCTAAAACCTGTGTGTAGTTTTCTGCATTGATGGTGTAGATGTGTAGGTTGCACATGTCATAGGCACTAATGTACCCCCATACCATCAGAGAGGCAGGCTTTTGAACTAAGCGCAGGTCTGATGATCCCTTTTCTCTTTAATACGGAGGACATGGCATCCGTGGTTTCCAAAAAGAAGTTGAAACGTTGATTCCTTTGACCACAGAACCAATTTTGTCCATTTTAAACGAGCTCTGGTTCCGAGAAGACAGCAACATTTCTGGATGGTGTTCACATTTGACTTCTTCTTTGCCTGTTTGAGCGTTAATAAGCATGTGTGGATGAGACTGCAAACTGTGATTACAGATGGTGATTTGTGGAAGTGTTCCTGAGCTCATCACAGAATCAGACCTGTTTTAATGCAGTGGCCCCTGAGGGCCCGAAGATTGTGGGCATTTAAAATGGACGTTTAGCCTGGTCCAGTTTTGAAGTCTTTCCATGGTTGATGAAGGAATGTTCAAAGCTTTGATTTTCCATCATGCCACATTGTTTGAAAATTGTCCCACTATTTTTAGATGCAGGTTTTTGCAGACTGGTGAATCCCTGGCCATCTTTACTTCTGGTCTTCAGTTTCTCTAAAATACCAGTTTTATTCCCAGTCCTCTTATCTGTTGCCAGCTAACCTAACTAGCAGCAGAATGTTCCTTTAGCTGTTTATTTGACCTAAATAATTTTAAAGCCTCTTGTTGTCTCAGTCCCCACTTTTAAAAAATGTGCTGCTGCCATAAAAGCCAAAATTACTACTCTGCTTTAGTTTTTTTAGTTGTTTTTTTTAAGGTACAATTTCTTAATTTAAACATCTGACATGCTCAATGTGTTTCATTGCTGATTAAAAAAATATTTAAAAGGTTTGCAAATCATTTGAATTTTAGACAACATTACTACCTTTTCAGGACTGAGTCAACAAATTAAAACGAGTTCTGTTTGCAGGACATCTGCTGGGGAGACATTGTTTCCAGGTAGCGGGCTGGCCGAACTGATTGTGGAGCTCAGTCGACTACTAAACTCAGAGGACCTGAGGTTCTTTGAAAGCAACATGTGAGTTCTAAACATTTCTTTTATTCTTGCTCTGAATATGAATTTACCTTCAAATGATCTTGGCGCATAAGCGGAGTATAAAACTTGGGATGAGAACGAAGAAAGTTGCAAGCAATAAAACAGTTTCTGTTGTTTCGTTGACATAGAACAGATTTGGACGTGTAACGGTACAGGTGCTCGTACTGTCACCGTACGCTGAAGTACACGACGACTTTCAGTTTGCATTTTGCTAACTGCCACGAAAGGAAAACAGCAGAATATACTATTTAAAGCACATAACATGAAACAAGTCATGGCTGGCAGGTTCCGAATAACAAAAGCTTAAAGACCTGTCTTAAATGCCGGTATGGCAATCTTGTATGACATGTAATGTGCACTTTGGCAGGCCTGTGCATATTTGTTTGATATCCCTGATATCAGGAGTCGTTTTTCTCCACACTAGCTCTCACTTGCTGGGATGCTAGCTGTGAGTAATGTTTTATTTTTATTTGACATCAGATGTTGTTGCGCCTTGCTAAAAGGCAATTCAAGATGGCTGCCACAGCCAGCTGATATTAAAATATAAAAAAATGACTATAACTAAGTCATTTTTACAAAAATTAACCTAAAAGTTTGGTGTGGTAGCTGAGGCTGGTTCCCAACACATATTTTGAGCAGTAAAATATGTTTGTTTGTTGCGATCCTAATTTCTTTCTTTTTTTTCCTGCAAAAGCTGAGAAATACTGTGGGCTGATGTCTTCACAGTATTCTAATTTTTTTTTTTGAAATCCTGTTTTCGTGGGTTTCATGAGCTGTAAGCCCAAATTATGTAAAAATAAACAAATAAATACTTGAAATTGTTTAAATTGTGGGCCCTGAATCTATCATCTATTAAATATTAACTTCTTGAATGGAATTATGGAAGTTAAACAACTTTTCCTTGATATTCTAATTTTTTGGAAAGGATCTGTATATTTAGAGTTAACCGTGTCTTACCCATACTCAACCATCATTTAGGTGTGCTGGATTATCTAAATTATATTTACAGTATTAGGAGTGTACTAATACTCCTTTTTTCAAACCAAGTACAAGTACTTCAGTTTGGATACTTGCCAATACTGAGTACCAATTATTTCATGAGTTGGTACTTAAACACAATGACTTTAGAACACAAGTCTGCCCTAACATCACCAGTGGTTATCTTAAAATGTCTCTAAACTACTGACATTTATATTTTATTTTGTACTTGCATGGTGGACGAAGGAATGTCACCAAGCAGAGCGGTGGTATCAATACAAAGTATCATGATGTTTTTATGAGTACAAGTATGAGTACTTTAGGCTGGTATTAGGACACCAATAATATTTATGCAACACTAAGCTTAAAAAATAGTTGACTTTAATTCGAGTTTGCATGTTGGGAAAATTACTTATATTTCTGCAACATACTGTTTTGAACCTCCTGATGCATGCTCAGTGATGTATTTGGAACATTTCCACTAATGTTGTGCTGCTGAAGGTACATGAGAGGATGGTTCAGCCCCCACCACCAACGGCAGAAGATCGTAAACCCTCTGATGGCCATGCAGCTTCACAGCCAGGCGTCGGTGTAAGGATCCATTTCTTCTTGTAGAACAGGACAAATGAAAACAGCTTTTTACAAATGTCTGTTTCATTATTTGTAGCGTTCAATCTGTCTGGCTGTTATCTGACCCTCCGTCTGGTCCCATCTCAGGTATTTGGAAACATTAGAGAAGAAGGTGGAGGCATTGAAGAAGGAGATGGTGGATCTCTACCCCGCTGCTACAACTCAGGAGTGGATCGAGGAGCACGTGAGCCCCGTGATGGCTCCTCTGCAGCGTTTAACAGAAGACGTCCAGGCTTGTCTGAAGGAGATGGTGCCGTAAAATCACTGACGGCCGTGCGTAAAAGGAAGTCCACGTCCTTTTTGTCATATGGTTTTATGTATTAGGATGTCATAAAACGATCTGGTCTGTATCAGGTTCTAAACTTCTTCAAACAGAATGTCAAGCGTAGAAAAGCGCGCAACAGATTTCATTCTGCTGTTGTTTAATAAACACAACGCCAAGGCAGGAAGGCATCAGCAATAAACAACTGTTGTTCCCCATCAGTCTAGAAATGGTTATAGATAGGACCATTTTTAAACTTGAAGTCCACCCATCTATAGAAGCAAAGATCATTCACAAGTTGGAAACATTTAAGAAAGCTGTCAATCCTCCCAGATGTCTCCACAAATTCACCCCAAGATCAGACTGTGCAATGTTCAGACAAATGACAGCAGAACTCAACAGCTCCATCTTAGACTCTACAGGCCTCAGTGAAGAGGTTAAAGGTCACGACGCATACAAACTTAAAACAGGTGTGGTTTGTTTGGACGGGCGGCACGAGCTAGAATCTAAAAACGAACACACGAGCATGACTTTGGTTCGCTAAATTATATCTAAATAAACCACAAGACTTTTGGAACAATTCGACTCGGCTCTTACAGACGTGGTGCTGGAGGGGTGACGATTTGGAGTTCTGCAGCCACGGGACCTGGACCTGCAGTCATGAGTGGACCATGACCTCCTCTGTAGACCAAAGGCTTCTAGAGCCAAACGTGAGACCATCTGTCTGACAGATGAAGATTGGACCAAACTGGGTCATTAAGCAGAACAATGACCCAGAACACAGCAGATAATCTACAACAGAGTGGCTCAAAAAGAAAAGAACGAAGATGTGATGGTCCAACGTCCAGACGTCCACCTGACAAGGCTGTGGAGGAACCTTTAATGAGCTGAAACTGATCAATGAATAAAGCAGCACTGATGGGAATGGGCCAAAATGTCTCCACAACCATGAGACAGAAAAAGTCCAACAAAAACAACAACTGCAGATCCTGCAGTGATCTCATTCATCCTGATGAAGACCAGTTTTATGACGTCCTGGTGCGTAAAACCCTTCAACTGAATAAATGATGGACCTTTTCTTTTACCCGTGACTCTGCCTGTTTGGACTCAGTCATTTTTTGAGAATTTCACCAAATCATTTTCAGAAAATAATCAACCTCTAATGTCTAAACCTCTTTAATGTGATTTTGCACGTACTTGTGATCAAATGGAGGAGACGTTTCTCAACAAGAGCTTTATGTAAAATCAGCAAATGTAAGGAAATTATCAAATAAAACATTTTCTAACACCTAATAAATCTTTTTTTTTTTTTTTTTTATCTATAAGGATGAGCAACAAATACATTTGTCAGAGAAAAATAATCCACGTTTGACTAAAACACTAAGCATTCACCTGAGATACAGTCTTTGGTTCACACTAAATGTAAAAAACAACAAACACAATTTCACATAATTCCCTCCGGGTTTGTGCACGGTAACAGTTTGTGCACGGTAACAGTTTGTGCACGGTAACAGTTTGTGCACGGTAACAGTTTGTGCACGGTAACAGTTTGAACATGCAGGACTGACTCTGAGCTGGGTGGTCCACAAAACACATCATCTGAGACAGGTAAACACTTATTAGAGAGGCACGGTGTGTGTCGTCTGGAATGTTCTCTAAACAGTCATTAGACTTCATGTTTTTGGGTTCATGAAGAGAAAATGACAAAAAAAAAGGCAAGAATTTGTGCAGACAGGCGTTTTCACGGACATGCTCGCCTGGCTGTAACGTCTCGACCCGACCAGCTCCGAGTTCATCTGAACCGAGTCAGTCTGCTTCGTTGTCCGAGTCGGTGCTGTGGACCGTGGAGTCTTCCTCGTCCTCTCCGTACGCCGCTTCCTGCTGCCGGCGCTGCAGCTCCTCCAATCCCAGGAAGCGTTTCAGCAGCGCGGCCACAGCCTCCACGTCGCTATGAGGAGAAGAATAAATGAAATGCATGCAGAAGTTGATGTGGTTGTAGCTGAGCATGATCCTCGGCTCGTGCTCCGAGGGCTAACTGACGGAGCTTGAAGTAAAACGAGGGGAAGACGTTCCTAACTAAAATGTGCATCTGGTAGTAGTCTGAACCTCCAGTGGAGTTTGTGTTGCAGTACTGACGTGCCAAAAAACTGCAAACAGCTAAATTTAATAAATGCAACACCAATAAAACGTATTCACCCCCTTGGATGTTTTGAGGTTTCACTGCCGTCATAAATCCAGTTAAAGTGGTCTTTACAAAACAACACAAACCTTCAGTGTCAAAGTGAAATCAATACAGAGTAACAAACAAATCAAAATATGGACTGTAAAATAAGTGACCGCTTAAATATTTGCCTCCTTTCAAGTCCGTCCATCCATCCACCATCCATCCACCATCCATCCATCATCCATCCACCATCCATCATCCATCCACCATCCATCATCCATCCGTCATCCATCCACCATCCGTCATCCATCCACCATCCGTCATCCGTCCACCATCCGTCATCCATCCATTTTCTGTATCCGCTTCTTCCTTTTTGGGGTCACTGTAGCCCATGTCCAGCAGTCATTGGACGAGAGGCAGGGGACACCTGGACAGGTCTACAGTTCATCACAGAGACACATGTCTCCAGTCCATCACAGGGACACGTCTCCAGTCCATCACAGGGGCACCTGGACAGGTTTCCAGTCCATCACAG